AATTATCACAATGAGACAATAAAATAGTAACCTACTAACACCTATTAGATCACTCTCTTAAACCCAATATCCTGAATAGAAATAATAACCAAGATATTTTATCCCAGGGCCCATTAAAGTAACTACGGCCCTGTTTTTAGGCCTCGTATATTAGGTTGATAAAGGAACGGCAAGAAAACGGTCGCAAGGCTGAAAGAAACTTCGTAAAATATATTTTATGCGTGTACGCATTCCCAGAATAACCGTCGCGAAAAGAAAGAGAGCAATCACCTGGGTGAAAGTATGGTTCGAAAAGACAGTTAGGTCGATCCTAGGTCTTATTGTTCCAAATATCGCTAAAATACGAAAAAGCATAAAGTCATAAACCGCATTTTAACGTTTTTGCTTGGTCCTTCGGGCCAAGTGTTAGCCGAAGCCACCCTAAGAGAAGCATGCAAATCCAGAGGAGCGTCGTCAAAGGGACAGCCATTGGAAAATATATAATTCAGGCCGTAAATGGGGTCCTCTTAGACTGGTAAAACGGTTAACTTTTAACCGTCACGGCTTAGGTATGAACCTTGAAGCGTAGTTTCCATGCGAAAGGAAAGAAACGACGAAAGTACGAGGACGGATCATATTATCCTTTGATATAGCAGCTTCGAGACGGACGATGAAAAAAGCGGGGCGAAACTTGTTATTAAGAAAAAGAGTCATAACGGAGGTGCTTAAGAGATTGATGGTCAAAAGAGCTGGTCGTTAACGTAACTTCGTTCCGTATATACATAAGCATCTCTCTGTCTTCCATGCGTGATATTTCCACACGTAATAATTCGACGCGTGATAACTCCACTTGTACTAATTCCACACGTGATAATTCGACGCGTGATAATTCCACTTGTGTTAATTCTACACATGATAAATTGACGCGTTGTGTTTCGACACATGATGATTCAACGCGTTGCATTCTAATGCATTATAGTACGACATGTGATAATTCAACGCATGATACTTCCACACGTGATATTTCCACATGTGGTAATTCCACACATGATAATTCAACGCGTCGTGTTTCGATACGTGATGATTCAACACGTTGCATTTTAATGCCTTATAATTCGACACGTGATAATTCGACGCATAATAATTCCATACATGATATTCCCACATGTGATAATTCCACACGCAATAATCCAACGCGTCAAAAATTAAGAACAGTAAAAATAGTGCATGATGGAAACAAATATTGAATTATCACAATGAGACAATAAAATAGTAACCTACTAACACCTATTAGATCACTCTCTTAAACCCAATATCCTGAATAGAAATAATAACCAAGATATTTTATCCCAGGGCCCATTAAAGTAACTACGGCCCTGTTTTTAGGCCTCGTATATTAGGTTGATAAAGGAACGGCAAGAAAACGGTCGCAAGGCTGAAAGAAACTTCGTAAAATATATTTTATGCGTGTACGCATTCCCAGAATAACCGTCGCGAAAAGAAAGAGAGCAATCACCTGGGTGAAAGTATGGTTCGAAAAGACAGTTAGGTCGATCCTAGGTCTTATTGTTCCAAATATCGCTAAAATACGAAAAAGCATAAAGTCATAAACCGCATTTTAACGTTTTTGCTTGGTCCTTCGGGCCAAGTGTTAGCCGAAGCCACCCTAAGAGAAGCATGCAAATCCAGAGGAGCGTCGTCAAAGGGACAGCCATTGGAAAATATATAATTCAGGCCGTAAATGGGGTCCTCTTAGACTGGTAAAACGGTTAACTTTTAACCGTCACGGCTTAGGTATGAACCTTGAAGCGTAGTTTCCATGCGAAAGGAAAGAAACGACGAAAGTACGAGGACGGATCATATTATCCTTTGATATAGCAGCTTCGAGACGGACGATGAAAAAAGCGGGGCGAAACTTGTTATTAAGAAAAAGAGTCATAACGGAGGTGCTTAAGAGATTGATGGTCAAAAGAGCTGGTCGTTAACGTAACTTCGTTCCGTATATACATAAGCATCTCTCTGTGTTATTTTATTGCAACAAAATTCGAGAGACATGTCGTGGAATCTTGCCATTTCATGTCGACGTGTCAACATACACGTTTAATGTTACAGCTCTTTTATTTTAAGGAAGATGAGGTAATTTGGAGATTTGAGGGTTGGAGATTTGGAGGTTCAAAATTAAGGGTTGGAGATTAAGGGGTTGGACATTAGGGGGTTGGAGATTTGAAGATCCGAAGATAGGTGGTTTGAAGATTTAGAAATTTTTTAATTCAGAAACTTAGAGATTGTGCAATTTGTAATTTAGGAATTTAAGGATTTGGGAAGTTAGGTATTTGATGCTTAGGAAATTTGAAGCTCCAGCAGTCTGAAAATATACAAGTTTAAAAATTTACAAAGTTATGCACTTCAGGATTTTTACATTTAGAAGTCTGAGAATTTAGACATTTAAAAATATAAAGATTTAAAAATTTCGACCTTTGCAATTTTCCAAACTCACGCAACGAATAAATGTTCATCCTCTTTCACCAAAACTCCAACACACCCAATTCCATTTCCAAGCTCGCAATGTTATATCTGCAAGACATCAATCACTCGATAAAACTAAAGCACTTACCCCAAAAAAATGCAAGAACCTCCACTTTTTGCTGGAGCCTCGCAATCCAGCGGAGTAGCAACCCCTTCACCCCACCCATCGTTCTCCGTAATAAAACAGCGAGGACCTGGTTATTACCCTCGATCGGAAATATCAAACCGTACCACGAATCTTGTTACCGTATCGGAAAATAATGACCGTCGTATCAAAGAACTGGAGGATCCCATTTCGCAGCGGGTCCACCGTAGACAGTGTATCAAAAATGTTTTATGTAGCAACGTCGTCGACGAGGAGGGAATGAGTTTCTGAGCGAAGAAGAAGAAAAAGGACGCGACTCTCTGCTTTTCCAGGATGGTGTAACGCGGTTTATGATCACGGTGATTCGCGAACGGTGGACCAGCAACCAACATCCTGATCCTTGTTACGACCTCGTAAAGAAGGCTTTTAACGCGTCTACCTAGCATTTTCATTCAGGCCTAGCTTTAAACGGAACGTATTTATGTTAGGGCTAGATCGACATTATCAGAATTACTGATCTATATATCTATATTACTGATCAGAATTTTGGAGCTGTTCTTTTTTGAAAAGGAAATTATATTTTAGGGTTGAACGATGTGTCATTGTGACACTTGTAAATGGACTTAAAGGTGCGGATGATTATGAAAATGGTCTAAATCGAAATCTTAAGAATTAGATATTCTAATTATTGTGTTACTTTCAACATAAATGTGACCCGCACCTTGACCTTATAATTTAATGTAAGACTTTAGTCTTAAATTAAGTCTTAGACCTTATTTGTCTCAGATTGTGAGATAGTGATCTACTGTAACATAATCGAATTGATCAGAGTAACTAATAGTTCAAGAAGAATATCCCCATCTGACACGCTACTGTTTTGATGAAAGCACAATGAGGTGACATCCCATGTCTTCAGACAAAGGTGCGTCAAGAGGCTGAGTCGAAAGGAGTAGAATTGAAAGCTATCGATTGACGTCTCATTCGTTTTGCGACGCAAATCAAAGCTGCTTTTGTTTCGGACATCGTTGCTCGTCGACATTCGATCTGCAAGAATTCGGGACTACCGCAAACATCGACACATAATTCTTTCGTAATATCACGGTAAGCCGATAGGTTCTGTCTCTCGTTCGGCACTTGTCAAAATAATGTTTGTCTATCCCGCAGTCTCGGACGGGCTTTGTCGTCGTTCCGCTCCACCCGCGTCAGTTATGAGAGTTATGGCTGTTATGATTGTCATGTTTTGTCAACTCCTTTGTCAGCGACAAAAGGTCTGCCAGCGAGAGGATCATGAGCTTTTCGGTCTTTGGCGCGTTTGCAACGAGCGAAGGCAAGGTCGTACGGGACGAAGTGGCGTGAAGCCGGCCCACAAAAGTGTCGCCGGAAGTTTTGTTGGCACAAAATTCGATACGTCATTCGAACGAGAGATCTACGCCGTTGCGAGGATCGAACCTATTTTCGCAAGGTGACCGCGAATATCCCCGCGACCGAAAACGTCAATCAAACTGCCCGGCGCTCCTGTAGGCGTAACGCTTCATCATGGAGCAGAATTAGTGCCACTCACGAATACGATGCGATCGCTAAAGCTTCTTCGGGCTCCGAGAAAAACATCGACCATTTTCTTCAACTGTTATCGATACAAGGCTAAAGAGTAATAGTAAGATTTCTCAAACTTCTGATGTTCCAACCACCGACGATTGATTTCGTCACGGACAGCGTGCACGCAAGAAAAATATATGGCCGACGTTTCATAAAGAGTCAGCCATAGTGCATTTCCCCGATATTTTTATTACCGCAGCCCGAATTGGATTGGTCGAATTACGAGCCACCCTCGATAATCGCACCCTTCTAGCCTGACGCAAGTAGAGACCGGAATCGCATTCGCGCCAGCCTCGCAATAAATTCCGAATAGCTATCATAGATTTATCATAGTCACGCACTCGCGCCTGGCCACCCGATAATTGTTGGAACGTAGCGGTTTTTGGCTGACCCAAACGCTGTCCCGTCGATCCTAGGTGACAGGGGAGATCCTCGAGGGCGAACGTCACGAGGGTGAGAAAAATAATGATTCCGGACATTTTTCAATACACCGAGGGCGTGAAGAAGGGAGGTGGTACGTTTCGCTTTCTAGGAGACTCGATTTATACTCGATCGTTGTTCTTTGTGGCGGACACGTACGATGTCGCACCTGCCATCGAACCTGGACAGATGAAATCGAAATGTCACGCGGTTGCATTTTTTATACTTCTTTGTTCGGTATTCTAAGTTGTTCTGAATCGTTACTTTTAAGTTATGTATGAAAATGGATGCAAGGGGGTGGAAATAGATGTTCTTAATTACTTTTGAAAGACAAAATGTTTTAGGTTGATGTGTTTGTTTAGGTTGTTTTTACTGTTGCAGTACAAGAATATCTATGGTTGGTACTAACTTTAATAGACAAGTTAATAGACAAGTTAATAGGCTAGTTGATAGACAAGTTGATAGACAAGTTAATAGACAAGTTAATAGACAAGTTAATAGACAAGTTAATAGACAAGTTAATAGACAAGTTAATAGACAAGTTAATAGGCAAGTTCATAGACAAGTTAATAGACAAGTTAATAGACAAGTTAATAGACAAGTTAATAGACAAGTTAATAGACAAGTTAATAGACAAGTTAATAGACAAGTTAATAGACAAGTTAATAGACAAGTTAATAGACAAGTTAATAGACAAGTTAATAGACAAGTTAATAGACAAGTTAATAGACAAGTTAATAGACAAGTTAATAGACAAGTTAATAGACAAGTTAATAGACAAGTTAATAGACAAGTTAATAGACAAGTTAATAGACAAGTTAATAGACAAGTTAATAGACAAGTTAATAGACAAGTTAATAGACAAGTTAATAGACAAGTTAATAGACAAGTTAATAGACAAGTTAATAGACAAATTAATAGACAAGTTGATAGACAAGTTGATAGACAAGTTGATAGACAAGTTAATAGACAAGTTGATAGACAAGTTGATGAACAAGTTGATAGACAAATTGATAGACAAGTTAATAGACAAGTTAATAGACAAGTTCATAGACAAGTTAATAGACAAGCTAATAGACAAATTAATAGACAAGTTGATAGACAAGTTGATAGACAAGTTAATAAACAAGTTAATATACAAGTTGATAGACAAGTTAATAGACAAGTTAATAGACAAGTTAATAGACAAGTTAATAGACAAGTTAATAGACAAGTTAATAGACAAGTTAATCAACAAGTTAATAGACAAGTTCATAGACAAGTTGATAGACAAATTAATAGACAAGTTAATAGACAAGTTCATAGACAAATTAATAGACAAGTTAACAGTCAAATTTGTATAGCTAATTGTTTTAAATAATTTATCTTGCATCGCTGTATAAATTTCATTCAAACTAAACTTGTAAACATTAAACTCCAGACAGCAACCCCCTACAATTATTCAGACCATAATTCTTTTAAATATATACAAACCATAAGCTGAACGTGTAAGCCAAATTGCAATTACAATTTAATTAAGCCTTCCGTCAGCTGTATATTTTTATCAAGGTAGCATGATGGTACACAATGTATTCTACTTACCCGATCCAGAATTAACTCGGTGGACTAATAGTCCCGAAAAATGGGCCATTGATCTTCCGAATGATCTCCGTGTACCTAAGACCCTTCATGCTGCAATTGTAATGGTTACACCCCTATGTAATCAATCGCCGCTGTTCTCTAGGGTTGCAGAAACGCCGTCTTTATTTCCACGTGATTCACGTTGAACGCGGGGGAACGAAGCGTGAGATTAAACGCTGGCATCGAAGTAACATACTCGGGAATTTGGTGCAGTTGGAAATTATTTCCTCCCACTCGTTTATTCGGAGATTGCAAACGGATCGTGTTGGAGTACTTAAAGCATCGTTTTGATTAAGGATGAATTCTGTGGAATTTCTTTCTCTTTTGAGTGTGAGAGTATCAAGATATTCTTTGATAAGACTGTGTTTCTTTGTGTATTTTGTTTCTCTTTTAATGATGAGGATTTAAGAATATTGAACAAGTATTGCTAGTACAAGGTTTAAGGTTTACAAGATTTAATAGTAATAATATAAAATTCGATAGAAATAATGTAAGGTTTAATAACAACAATGTAAGATTTAATAGTAACAATACCAGGTTCAATTTCCAATAACAAAAATTTTAATTCGATTCTGACAAGGAGTTACAAAAAGAGAGTATATGTATGCTGTACCACCATATGAAATGTATGAACATATAAAAAAAAGTAACACAGAAATTTCATCCCCAGTTTCCCATCTCCTATCAGTCCACAATTTTTCAATAAAATATCACAGCAATTATGAATATAAAATATATTTCAATGACCAAAACGCACCTCCATCGCGCAATAAAATAAAAAAAGACCACGCGTCAATTCTTTAAAAGGTCGACGTTCTCAGCACGGGGTAGAATATCTTTATTCGGGAATTTATCTTCGAGGAGTACCATCTACGTGTCAAACGAGGGAAACGGTGCAAAAAAAGAGACAGCCGAGATTCCGAGGTCGCAGCAATGACTGGTGAGCATACATTACGGCAGTGCTTCTTTTTTAGAGGCTGCTCACCCTCTTGTAACAAAGGTGTGGCCTCAAAGATCCCCGATGATCGTCGTCATCTTGTCTCCGGCACACCATCCACGCGTGTTAAGCACGAGCTACGAGTCCGTACGTTTTTTTCTCTTTCGTTTTTTTTTCATCGACCTCTGCTCATTCTTCTTCCACGAGAAGAACACCTATCCGCCCCTTGTTTTATCTAAATTCCCCTCCGTTTGATTCTCGCACGACTGCACGTAATATCTCTTAAGGGTCGCAACACTGATATTCACCTGTTAATTGGATCACTGTCTAAGATATTTTTTCGCGTAATAAGAAGTAAGTTTTTTATTACACATTCGTTTAATAAAGGGGTGATGACGAAGACTATGAAATGATGCGTATTTGTACGTCCTATATGCAATAGAGATTTCAAGTCTAAATTTTTAAACTTGAAAGTTAAATTGGTAGCATAGAAATTTGTAATGGTATAAAATTCTAAATTATCGATAAACAGAATCGTCGAGTGCCATTAGCCGAATCCGATGTATCATATAATTATGCCAAGGGATCCTCGGGAAGAAATTATTTATCCGAAGTTCGCCAATTACCGTGGTCGAAAGACGTCTGACGAATGAACAACGGTAGAAGCACTCGAAAGGGCTAAGGTTACCTTAATGGATCCTTTAAGGTCTGATCGTTTGCTTCCAGAACAAGCTCTTATCTGGTTCGAGGAACTTATAGTCAGGGACATAGCTACCTGGACCAACTGTAACCAAGGGAACTGATCACGGGTCAGCTCCTTTTATTCTCTTCCTTCTTTTAATCTCCGTTCAATACACCGTGCACGCTACGCCAAAATTAAGATACCCTCGTCTGTTATCCATTATTATATTATTTATTAAGACTACATGATTAAATGACCAGTACATAGATTTTTTATTGTAAATTACAGAATTCGTTAACACTGCTGTATACTTTATGATATACATGGTTCAGTATACTCTATGACTTTATTATTTGATCTTTTATTTTAACACTGAACTACCAAATTGATCAAATGACCGCTTTACAAGTTTCTTATTATAAAGTTATTTTGTTAAAGTACATTCCTTGAAGTCAGCATTGATGTTCATCAGAATATAGAATAAATGTGTGTACTAGTTTATTAACGTTGTTTGTTTATTTATTTTTTGACTTCATTTTTCATTTCAAATTAAGCATACACTTTGTTAAAGTACATTCCTTGAAATCAGCCTTGATTTTCATCAAGATAAATAATAAATGTGTGTACTAATTAATGTATCGTTGTTTGTTTATTTATTTTTCAACTTCATTTTTAATTTCAAATTAAGTACACATTTTGTTAAAGTACATTCCTTGAAATCAGCCTTGATTTTCATTAAGATAAACAATAAATGTATGTACTAATTAATGTATCGTTGTTTATTTATTTATTTTTCAACTTCATTTTTCATTTCAAATTAAGTACACATTTTGTTAAAGTACATTCCTTGAAATCAACCTTGATTTTGATCAAGATAAATAATAAATGTGTGTACTAATTAATGTATCGTTGTTTGTTTATTTATTTTTTGACTTCACTTTTAATTTCAAATTAAGTACACATATGCTGGTACGCTTAGTATAAAAAGTAAGTTAAATTGTTAAAGACACGTTTCTATAACAATCAACAATTTTCTGCGACAATCGATCATGCTCGAAGAAACATCCACGACAAATTAGAGTAACGAGTGTAGAAAAGAAATCGTCTCATGGCACTCGACAAATTAACAGACAAGAAGGTGGTTCTATTTTTTGCCGGTCGTGCCGGTGAAGCGAAACACGGTCAGGGGTAAAACAACGTTGTTCTCTCGTTACCTAGCGCGGGACCGCGCTTTTCTGAACGAGTAACTTAATCCCATTTTCCAGCGTAGACAATAAACCACCGGGTGAATTGCGCGTGTGTGCGCGTGCAAACGTTCACGTACGTGTACCGGGTCTCTGTGCATTCTCGTTCCTGTGCTCGACGAGGGAGAGACATTAACTAAGGGCAGATGCTTCGACAGCGTTAAAAAAGCGGCGAGCGAGCGCGTGCCGGCATCAAACGACTAAAAATACTCGAACGCCCCCGTGAACAACGACCACGCCCGCTATAAAATCTCTTCGGACCTCGGGACACATCCTAAAAGCCCTATAATCTCTATCCTCTCGTCTTTCCACTAACAAATACGTGCCACTAATTCCGATAATTAGCGCGCCTACGATAGCTCACGGTGAAAGGATGAACACATGATCTTTGTACGTTCTTGTTATTGAATAAAATATTTTGAAACAATTTTTATTAGGTTTTTTCTGATGAATTGATTAATTGATAAATATCTGACGTTTGATGTATGTTGTCACAACATACGTTATTTCATGAGTGAAATAATGTGAAACAATGTTAGATGAAGAAATTTAATTTTCATTGAAGTCTTTCAATTTAACCCCTTCCCGTACTTTGACGTGTCTCGTGACGCACTTACAGTTCAAATGTGACAAACCTTACTCAAACTTTGATCATTTTTCAACTAGAAATTTAGGTCCAACTATAGGTTGTATTATAAAGCATCCCTGAATATAAAATACTCACAACATTTTAATTTTCTTGTTCGCTTTAATGTTATAGCCCTGAAATAACATTATATTTAATGTTATAGTCAAATAGTTTTGACTGACGCATCTGTTAAATAAATGTCACGGGAAAGGGTTAATAAAAGACAAATCTTAGAGGAACACTATAAAATATAGTAAAAATAAATACGAGAATCGTAATGAACGTCTGAAAGAACATCGAGCATATTTCACCCCCAAAATACGTTAACGCGTGTCTCCTCAGGAAGCAAGCCCGAAACAACGGCACAGAGCTATTCCTAACATGTAAAGCAAGAAGCTCGTTTCCATGTTTATCCCGTCTCACGACGTCGAGGTAAGTACCACCTTCGATTTCCTGCGGGAAGATCCCCTCGAGGTAACCCAGCGTCCGTGATCGCAACCCATAAAAAGCATCCTCGATCACGGGAAAGCCGAAAGAAAGCGAGACAAGGGTGGCGAAGAGACGAACGCGTGCCGATGACACATTGTCTCCCTGTTTTCTCTGTCTCCACGTGCTACCTATCTCGTGGATGTCGGTTTACATATTTTTAACCACTTTTTTCGAATCCGGCTCTCCGTCACACGCTTCTCCGTCTCTCTGTCGCGGTTTCTCTCCGTCTCTCTCTCCCTCTTCGCTGCAACAGCGTGCACCGTGTTTTCTGTGAGCACGCGAGCTGCACCCTAAAAACTGGATATTTTTGGTAGGGAAAAAAGGGCGAAAAAAGCGCGGATTCGTTACACGCGCTAGGGTCGTTCCACGATGCGTGCAAACGGGACGAGCGGTACACGGAGAGGGATCGTGAGCGAAAGATCGAAAAAGTTCGAACAGGGAAAACCACGCATCTGCGTACGCGTGTACGCGGTTGCGGGAAACGACGCGACCGGCAAATAGGGGAACGAGATTTTCCTGAAAAAGTGAAAATTTTACGGGAATGCTGCGAGGGAAACCGGGGCGCGCTCTTTTATCTTACGGGGCGCGTGCGGGAACAATGAGAATCCTTTCATCGATCTGTGATCGACGCAGAAAAAACGATGATGTACTCTTTCACGCTGACAATCGAGAGACGTTACCTCTTTTCGTCAAGGGGTTCGCTCCCGGATTTCAAAATGGCTTCGATCGAAATTCATTCTTTGAACACATTACTGTCGCG